TCCTGGTGGTCCCTGGCATCACGGGACCTGAACTCTGCCCAAGTTCCTTGGCTCCTAGCACTTAATCACTGACCTTGTTAGCTAAGGATCACCAGGATTGGTGTCGGAGTCCCTTGGGCATCATTTGGAAGGTCTAACCCCAAATAATATACAGTTACCTGTTACCCATAACTCTGTCTTTGTATACTTTTTCCAAACATATACATATTGGTAGAATTTTTATTTATTTAATTCTTTTTCTTCTTACTGGCTTCCCAAGCAGTACTCAAGGGGCTGGGGACCACTCTGGTAATACTAAGCCTAGGTGTTGCAGTCCAATGACAGGGCCCTGCAATTTAGTGCTACTTGGGCACACTAGGGGTGGGGGGCACCAGGGTCTCTGGGGCCAGAATACAGTGTCATGCTTAAATGAGTGACTCTGTGGTGCCAGGCTCCAACCTTGCAGTACTCAAGGGGCTGGGGACCACTCTGGTAATACTAAGCCTAGGAGTTGCAGTCCAGTGACAGGGCCCTGCAATTTAGTGCTACTTGGGCACTCTAGGGATGGGGGGCACCAGGATCTCTGGGGCCAGAATACAGTGCCATGCTTAAATGAGTGACTCTGTGGTGCCAGGCTCCAACCTTAGCCCCTTAAAGAACAGAGTGATGAAGCAGAGTGATGCCATTCTTCTTTTAATCACCTACATCCTGCAAGGGAGTGATTCCCAACTTAGTATGAATTTGGGCTTCTTAAATCACACATTGTTGGGCCCCATCATGAGGGTTTCTGATTCAGCTTTCAAATAGGCCTGAGAATTTTCCGCATCTGGTATAGAAATCAGAGTCTGAGGACCACAGCTCTTGGTTTGTACTTGGATTTTCTCTATTACTTGCTATCCACATTTACACTTCCACCAAGACATCTTGTTATGCCCTCTGCCTTTCTCTTCTATCCCGTTCTTTCACCTTTTTCACTCCTGAGTGGAGGAGACATAGCAGAGTCCTGCTTTGTCCTAAAACAAGATGGTTTGTGTTATCTTTTCTCCTCCTCTATTCACCTTTTTTCAAACGCTTGGTTCTTAATGCTTGGTTACTTTTCTCAGTACTTTAATGAAGTTTCACTAAAACAAATTTGAACAACTGGAAGAAGAAAAGAAGTCCTATTGCAGTTTGTCTGGCAGTAGATAGAATGGTTACGTAAGAGATTTTCTTTTACTCTAAAGAAATCAATCTGAAAGATGATTTACCCCGACCAAAAACAAATTACTGTTATGAAGAAAGGTCATGGGAAATGTAAGGAGTAGCACTCCCCTCTAGCATTTGAATTCCGCAGAGGAAGGAAACACATCTAGCGCTTATTATTCAGAGGTGGGAGACAGAGCAAAGAAACTCAATGTCTCCTGGGTAGAGGGAGATAAAGATTTTTTTTTTTTACATTAAGTAGTACTTTGTCTTTTATGAAAAGATCTCACATGCTTCATACCTTTGCAGCTTCTCAAAAGACAGGAAAATTATTATTTCTATTTTAAATTCAAAGAAATTGAGGGTTATGAAATTAAGTGATTTGCTTAAGGTCACATAGCCAATTAAAGGAACCAAAATGAAACCCAAATAATCTAATTTCAGCACAATCATCCTTCATTTATGCATTTATAGAATTATAATCATTATATAATAAGCTTTGACAACCAGGGTTTCTTTGGTACTCAAAGACAATAGGATGGACTACTTATTTGTCTCATATATTTCCTTTCAATAAATATGGGTCACTAAAACTTTGAGCAACAGAGTATTCTGTTTAGAATCTAGATCTTGGAATTGATTCTCTCCAACTGTTGAAAGTAAGCATAATTTACACAAAATCTTACAGTAATTGAAACGATAAGCCAGTTATCATGCATAGTAGATGTAATACAGAGAATTCATTTTGTTTGTTTTTGCTCTGCCAAATGACTCTTTGGTAGGATTCTCTTCAGTTAGACAATAGGTAAAAATAATGAATCCATCTTAACTTTTCCAAGTATCTTGAGTACTTGATAGAATTATTGTTTTTCAGATACTTTGAACTATTTGCTTTGAATTTTTATCATTTTCCTTGAACTTCTTTTTAAAGTTGGGAGTTCCTACTTTTTTTTTTTTTTGCTTACAAAAAATGGTATTGGAGGACTTTGTTTTGAAATGTGGATCCAAATCCTACATTACTTCCACACATCCAGGCTCTTTGCCTTTTGAAAATTGAGACCAATTGTTCTAAGTTTTGTTACTTAGGTTATATATTCCTTCAGTCTTGATAGACTCAGGACTCTTCCAACTGCCACTGCCAAATAATTTTGAGATGAAAGAGAAGAGTGTTGCTTCTTTTAAATGAGCTTCTCCAGTGGTATATGTACATTATTGATTGCTTCCAGATGTGGTCATGTTACAAAAATCAAAAATAAAGCCGTAACTTACTGAGAACCATCATGGTTTACTAGACATTTGAAGGCTATGCTTCGCTCATAACTTACGTTTAAAAAATGACTTTACTTGTAGCTTTTGTATCTCTAATGTCTAAATGTACATTGCTGGTTTTCTCATGGGAAAATCGAGTTATTTGGGTTAGCCACAGAGTCCTTTGGTGAATCCACTAGACAAATGTGGTTATACATCAGAAAGACAAATTTTGGTAGTATGTTGAAAATTTATGTTTCAAATTTAGAGCCCTATTTCAATATGCAATCAAATAGGAACTGTGAATTTTAAATCTGCTAGTTTTGCTAGAGGGTTTACATGGAGTGAGGACCATATTTATGGTTCCAAGTTGAGCAAATCAACTTTGACTAAGGAGACACTTTCAAAAATAGTATCTTTGCCCCTCCTAATTCTTAATTGATAGGTTTAAGAGAGTTATTCAATGAAGGAAGGATATATACTATGTGAGAGTACTCCATAATCTACAAATTGTCACAGAAATAAAAATATTAGTATTTTACTATTTTTCCAGATAGTGATGATGCCCTTATCAGATGGAAACTTTTTCTTGATTGGTCTTAGGTTTTAGGTGCTTTAATATTTATCCTAAATAAATAGAGTGATTTACCACTACATGATTTCCCTCCTACATTTATTAGTCACTATGTCTATTTGGAAGTGTGAAAACTGCCATTTTAAAGAAAATATGGTTCCCATACAGATTTATAGAATATATGGACTTAAAGTTAAACCTAAGAAAAGTCAAAGCATATCTTAATCCATTTCAGTCATTTACTTCCAAACTGTATACCTTGTTTCAGAGTCCCCTTCAGAAAGGGAAGGCTTTCTTCTTCCCTTCTATTCTTAAAATGTATGTGCTTATGTTCTATCCCTTAGATTGCTGCTCAGTCATCTAAGGAAAATAGAAAGGTTGCTTTAAGGAATTAATTTATTTTTGTCATTTAATTCATATATATTGCTTTCCCTTAGCAGCTTAACTATCACTTAATAGCAGTATTCTGAAACCAGAAGTTGGCCAAAAGAATGACTCTTATGATAGAAATTTCAGCTAGAATAACCATCATTGGGGTTTATATTTTTAAGTCCAAGAAAAATCTCTCAAATATTATCATATCTATGGTCAATTATATGGAGGGAAAACTATGGAGTTGCAACTTCAATGTCTGCCCCATTTTGGAGGAATGGCTTAGAGTTCTGTAGAATCACAGAACCCAAGATGAAACACCACCCTGTCCAATGCTTATCTAAGGACTGAATATCCTCTAAATCATCATTGAGATGACAATATACTCTCTCCCTGAATGCCTTTAATAACAAGAATTCAGTTCCTTTGGAGGTAGTCCAACCCATCTTAGAGACGACTTGATAGCTAACTTTTTCTTTTATTTAGTTGAAAGAAATTATTTTAGGGCTTCTAGTCATTAGGTCAGTTCTACCTTTTCAAGTAAAACAGAAAAAATATAATGTCTCTCTCTCCCAACCAAATAAACAATGCTATCAGTGGAATTAAAACCTACCCTTTCTAGAATACTTATTATCTGCCACAAATTGTTTTAATGACTTCACATATATGAATTTAACCCTCAAAATAGTACTATAAGAACAAAACAGCACTTTAGCCCTTTATACAAAGAATGGCCAGGTAATTTTGCAAATGTCCTGATGACAAAATTTTGAAGTGGCGAAGTCTAAATTCAAACCCAAGCATTCTGGCTGGGCCCAGAACTCTAGCTACTGCAGCATAATAGCTTTGAAGCAATAAATAAATATGACTTATATGATGCCTGAGTATTGTCTTCTGCAGGCTGAATATCCCTGAGAACTACAAGCATTGAATGTCATCCCCAAGACATTCAATCATGACTCATACCTACAGTTTTGCAGCCCTTCAATAATCCTAATCGTACTTCTCCTAATGTATATTGATCAACCTACTGTCCCTTCAGAAGGCAGTACCTGGCACAGATTGTGGACTTCAGTTGTTGAAAAGAGAGAATGAGAAAGCAGAAAGCAGATGAAGTCTTTAAAGTGAGTGGCTCTACTCTTCATTGGGTGGGGGGATGATAAATGCAGCATAAGCTTGCATCAGCCTGACTGTAGCTTCCTCAAGCCGGTGATTCGTATAGAGCTTATTACAGATGACCACTCTCCCCTGCTTTACCTATATGACTTGGTTCGAGAAAAATGATGTGACTGACTGGAGAGTATGCTCTCCAAACATTTCCCTGGTATCTAGGATCAAAGATTACAGCACAAAGTTCAACATATTTAAGGTAAGTCATGGTTTGCCAATTCTCTATCAGGCATTCGTAATTGACCCTCTCTAGGAAGGATTTCAGTGGCTATCTTTCTGTGGCAGGCAGCTGGCTCCTATCTAGGGCTTCTAGAAGCTGCCTTTCAGTGACAGGGGGCACCCTGATAACCTGAAAGATGACTGCATGCCTATGACTCCGGATCTTCCCCTGTATCCGTTGGCTTGTCCATCCCACCCTATCCCTTGCTGTCAGGCCTGGGGGGCGGGGGGGGGGGGGGGGGGGTCCTGCACTCACCTGTGTGAACGAACATGTGCTTGACGTAGTTCTGTTTGGCGGTGAAAGTCTTGTTGCAGAGAGTGCACTCATAAGGCTTTTTTTCACCCTGCCCGCTGGCTGTGCTGTGGCCTGCAGATGGGGCCAGGGGCTGTGGTGCTGGCAGCTGTGCAGTAAAGGTGGACAGGCCGGGCTGGGACACTGTCACAAACTGGGTCTGCTGGCCTGTCAGGGGCTGTGGCAGGCTGAAGAGAAAAGGCTTGGGGCCGCTGCCCGCGGGCTGGGTAGTGAAGAGGGCCGGCAGGTAGGTGTTGCCGGCTGTGCCAATGACCTGTGTGTTGCTGGTCAGGGTCAGAGGCATCCTCAGGTTGCTGGTGAGGGTTTCTGTCTGGCGTAAGTAGAGCTGGGTCCCGGGCAGCGGCTGCCCGATGGACGTGTTGACCGAAGGCTGCTGCAGGACGCTCTTGTCGGAGCTGTTGCTGACCGTGATGACCGTGTTCTCCATGTCCACCTCGTTGCTCCTCTCCGGGGAGGAGGCGCCGGTCTCGATGGGGTGCGGCTGGGGCCCACCCTCGGCAGGGGCTTCCGCTCCCTGCTCCGGTTGGGCGGGTTCCGCCTGACCATCCCGGGCCGCTGCGGGCCCGAACTGCTGCTCCACGGAATCAGGCTCGGTGCCGATGGAGGAGCTGACGCCCGAGTCGAAACTTTCTCCCTTGGGCTCGCTCTCGGTGCCCTCGGCCTGGTCGGTGTCTTCCGTGCACTCCTCGGACTCGTTGCGCTCCAGGATCTGCACCCTCTGCTGGCCGTAGTAGTCGTAATCGTCCTCCATCTCCTGCTTGATGTGGATGTTGCCTACCAGGGTCTGGATGCGCACGGGCCGGGGCTGCTTGCGGCAGTGGGTGGTCTCGGGGGTGGTGGACAGGTAGCGCTCCATCTGCTGCGAGCGCTCGTGGATGCGCGTGATCCAGCTGGGGTCTTCCATGTGGTGGTCCCGGGGCAGGCCGAGGGCCGTCTCGTGGTGGCTGACCACGGCCCCGCTGTAGAAGGAGCGCTCGCCGCTGCCGTTCTGCATGGAGCACGCGTAGAGCGCCGAGTAGATCCTGTCCACGCTGTGCTGCGGGTGGCTCTGCAGGTAGCCGGACTCCGTGTCGCTGCTCTGACCCGAGGTGCCGGACTCGGGCGTGCCCCGGGGCGTGTCCTGCCCCGAGTCCTGGATCCCGGGGAACACGTCGCCCACGTTCTGCGACACGATGCGCGTGCACTCATCGATGACGGTCTTGATCTGCAGGATGCTGGCGGCCGTGAGGATCTGCAGGGCTTCCGACTGTGACACGCGCAGCACGCCGCTGTACATGAAGTCAATGAGCTTTTGCACCGACTGCACCGACACCACGGACGGGATCTCGATGTCGCTGTAGCCCAGCAGCAACTTGTCCTGGAAGAAGGGGCTGCCAGCGGCCAGCACGCAGCGGTGCGCGCGCAGCATGCTCCCGTGGATGCGGACCGTCACGTCACAGAAGTGGCCACGGTTGCGCTGCTCGTTGAGGGTCTCGAGCACGGAATTGCTGAAGTTGTGAAGGTTGATGCTGTGAATGCGCTCGGTCATCCCCTTGCAACTGATGTCACCTGCATGAAGACAGATGGAAAACAGGCCGCGGGTCAGTTTCTCAGACTGCAGCTCCTGTGGTTGCCAGAGGCACCCGCCCGGCCCAGTCCCGCTCGCACACAAGCGGGCTTTGCAGCAAGATGAATTTCTGCAGGTTTGGGCGGTGGGGGATAGGAAGGTGGGAGGTGAGTGGGGGGCGGTGTCAAGCTGCTAGTGTGGACAAGGCCTGGAATTTTGTTCCGACGGTACCCCTGTCCTTTTGGGTACTGGATTCATATGAATTCTGTAGAGCCACCGTCAGGTCGGTTGTGTAATAGAGAATGAATACACAAATGGCATTTGCCTGCGAGTGCTACAACTTCAACCGCAAGAAAGAACTGCTAGGTCACCTTTGTGGCAACCACCATTTTGTTCTCATGATCTGGGAGTTTATTGTTTTTTTCGGGTTTGTTTCTGTCTCTTCCACATGTGAGTGAAATCAACGGCCGTTATCAAAAAACACAAGAAACAAATGTTGGCAAAGACGTGGAGAAAAGTAAGGCCTCACTAGCTGATGGTAGGGATGTAGGCTGATATAGTCACTATGGAAAACAGTATGGTGTATCCTCAAAAAGGAAAAACTAGAATGGAACTCCCATATGATCCAGCTACTGCATGTCTAGGTATATTAAAAGAATACTGAAACACTAGTTGGAAAAGGTATAAATAGTCCGGCACTCACTGAAACCTTTTAAGTAGCCCAGATTAGAAAAATAATCTAAATGCTAATTGGAGGATGGATGGATAAGAAGATTTAGTACACATACATAATGGGATACTACTTGATTGTAAAAAGATGAGATCTCCACATTTGTGATAACCTGGGTGGTCTTGGAGTATGAAGCTAAATCAGAAGAATATTCTCCATTCTTGCCTTTACAACTGAACAGTCAGCTTGAGAGAGGTCCTACTTGATATAAGAGGACGTTGAGGCTCTCACAATATCTACATGAATTACCCAAAGGTTCACACAATTAGTAAGTAGCAGGATGAATTCAAACCCAGGCCTCTCCTGCTCTTTGCATGGCACAAACTACTAAGAACACTAAGGAATCAAACTTGAATTACATCCATCTGGTCACAAACAGCATTCTAATTCTCAGGACAAAGAAGCAAAGAGAAAGACACCAATGGTGAGGATGGAGGTGGCTTTCAGAGACGTAAATGACCAACAGCAAAGCTGTCACTATAACACACACACACACACACACACACTGTCTATTTGACTGAACTGATCAAGTATACTCAAGCTTCCAAATAACCCTATAAGGAAGAATTTTTTTTTAAAAAAAAGGCTGCTAAACAGTTATGATAGTGTGGTAATGTTCTTCATTTCATTAAAATTCACACATTCAAACCTGTACACATATGTACAACCCGGCATGACAAATATCATTTGATATTTACAGAGACAATTTTTAAACATTTCCCTGAGTACACTGGCCCCGCACTGCTGCAAGCAGTTACAAAAGGCTAAATAGGTTTTGCTGATATGGGTAGAGATGAGAGGACCCGCCTCTCCATTCAAGCGCACCTCCTGCGCACAATGCTGAGGCAGTTCCTTTCCCAGGCTCCCTTTTATTTTTAACACTAATACAGTGGGAAAAAGTTTCTGTCACAGCAAGGCAATGTCCAGGCTTTTGTGAAACATGCCCTTTTTAATCCAGTGGGCATTAATGTATAGATTCCAATGGAATAAATCTGAAATACTCTACTGTAGAAGATTTGTCCCCCATTGAACACAAATCTTGATTAGATGGTTATTCAGGGACTGTATAGGAAAGAATGGTGTGAAAGTGCTAACTCCATTCTTTCTGAGATTGGCAATGAATAGACATTTAGGCTATTCAAAAAAATAATAATAAAATAAGACCTTCTCAACTCGACAAACTACGCAACTTTACAAAGATTATGTGTATTTGGAGACACCCCTGCACTGCACCCGTAGTGTGAACGCAGAACTGATGGCAAAACGGAAAAAAGTGATTAAAAAAAAAAACCCTCTCCTATGCATTTTAAAATAATAACCTACCCCCTTTTCCTCTAAACTAAAAATACAGTTAGCTGGTAATGGCATTCGCTAGAAACATGGAAGGAATTCTATCACAGAAAGTGATCATGCATTCTAAGTGATTGTGTTCTATGAGAGAACACAATTACAGATGGGGCTGAAACCAAAGTGGGTACCGAAGGGAAATTTATTTGTGATAAAATAGGTGATAAAGGGCCAGACTCTCTCTTCTGTAGGACAGCCCCCACCGCCGCCCCCTTGCTTGTCCCATAAACTGCGGGTGTCCAGGGATAGGACTTAGCATGAGAATAAAATGCTGCCTGTGCACAAGGGGAAATGAACAAGAAGGGAAACAGCAGGCAATACAATCTTTTTTAATTAGGTGTGAAATCCAGTCCTTTCTCAGTCCAGATATATAAAATGAAACTATGCAAGGGTGAGGCACCATAGAGGGAGATGGGAATTTGAAGTCTCTGTGACTTGGGAGGAAACACCAGCTCTCAAATTAAAACCAATATGAATTTCTATGAATTTAGGTGAAGTCAACAGGTATAAGTCAAAAGGCTGGGATGAAAAGCTCCCGAGCTTTCAATCTGGGCCACCAGGCTCAGTCGAGATGTGAGTCAGCACAGAAAACAGTGCTAGGAAGCCCACCAGAACAGCCTCTAATATCACTCGCCTCTAAACTTGGTCTTAGGCCTTTAGCATGTTGAAGTTGCTCTTTCATATTTCACGTGAATAGTGATAATTTTAAGTGACCACATGTTGCTTCTGGTACTAATATGGTTACATAATGAAAAAGTGATTTCTCTTTAGAGGAAGCAGAGATGCATATATAACTGGAGTCCTTTTCTCTCTTCTATTTCCATTTGCTGTCCTGACTGGGGCAGGAACTCAGTGATGTTTGCTTTACTTATATGCTTAGAGGAGACTTACAGTCTCAATACTAGAGGAGAGAGGCTGTATTCTCAGAGCTTCTGCCATCTAGAGCATGTCCCTACCCTGGCTTTCTATCTTACTGGCACCATCGCAATATCTGAAGGTTGTCTGGGGGCTCGAGGGGAGTCACTCAGGCAAATGTAGCAGATACAATTGTCCTCTTTCTCTTTTATATACTGAACAATTTTTTGGAGACAATTGTTCTCTGCTCCTACAGTCAAACCCTATGAAGATCATCAACCAATATAATGAAGAATTGCTCATTTTGGGAGTGAAAGAGGTAGTTTTGAGCTAGCTCCCAGTAAAAAGTTCTTTTCTTTCTTCCAGATAATCTAAATCCAGGTATAGGGATCATTTGAGATTTTATCAAGTCATCACCATTATTTTTTTAAACCACAGGTAAAGCATAAAACAATCTTTCAGATGTAATAAATTTGACTTTGAGCAATATTTCTAGGAAACACCCCTACAAGTTGGAGAAAGTTGTACGAAATTATTAACTTGGTGTAGAGTTTATAATTTCATTGTATTCAAGCTCTTGATAATGTAGTTGGGTATATCTTTCATATTATTTACCTTTTCATTCATGTAACATTTCTAGAGTACATTTAAGTATAAAGATACTTAAGCAGGGGCTGGAGCGACAGCACAGCAGGTAGGGCATTTGCCTTGCACGTGGCCAACCTGGGTTCAAATCCCAGCATTCCATATGGTCCCCTGAGCATCTCCATGAGTAATTCCTGAGTGCAGATCCAAGAGTAACCCCTGTGTATCACTGGGTGTGACCCAAAGGTCAATGGTTTCCATTAGAATCTCAAAGAGGTTTCTCTTCCCCCAATTATAGATTTATGACTCAAGATTCAAGTTTTTCTCTTTAAACTGCTTTTAAATTCTTTTGAGAGACAAAGCTTCTGAAACTAGTGCAACCTTCATAAACTCCATAGCCTACACCCGATGCATCAAGACTTGAGCAGTTATTTCCCATTTCCATAAGTTGAACTCATGTTCTTTTATATGATAAATTCAACAATCTTAGTCCAAATGAAAGATGTAACATTTCAAATAAAAATTACTTGAAAAAAAAGATAGGACTAAAATGGAAGAGATAAAAAAGAGAGCAGAAAGAAAGAAAAATGTTGATGACAAAGTACTAGAGCTAGCTGAAATATGGCCAATATAGTTATATAGTTTAGGAGTTGCTGAAATAAAAATATGGTTTGAATCAGGTTGTTATCAGAGCAGATTTACTTTAAAAGATAACAGAGATCCAGAAGAGAACTGGAAAATACTCTAACTTGTGTTGATTGTTGGCCATTATATTGTGGCGTAAGTTACATAAATAGTAAATTCAAACTCAATAAGCATACTGAGTACAACAAACTAAGATGGAATCAGTTCATCTGAGATCATAGTACCTCTTCCTCCCTCCTTCCCTCTATCCTTCCCACCTCCCTTCTTTACAAAGCCTCTAGTATGAAAAATTAGGATGTAAAACTGAGAACTAGAAAAAACATTTGTTCCATGATATGCAGGACCATTCCTAAATTTGGACTTAGCTTCCATTCCTGACTTCCTTTTCCTTTGCTTGCTTTGCTAAAAAGCAAGAATGTTATATATATATATATATATATATATATATATAATGAATAAATGGAATAGAAATTTCTGTCTAAAGAAGGAAGTAATTGCCAGAAAGGCTTTTCTATTCAGCTTGAGAGGGTCTCTGAGCTTCCCTGTTAGCTTAGGTCTCTGATATGCTTAATTTCAAATTAAATCCACTCAATCCCCATCACTCTATCTCCAAGAAGGAAGTAGAAATGCCTGAAAATACTTCTAAAATTTCAAATAAAACTGACTGATGAATAAAGTGCTTTGAGGATGATTTTTATTTTATTTTCTTGGGGGGGGGGGCACCTAATGATGCTTATGGCTTCCTGGCTCTGTGCTCAGGGATCATTCCTGGCAGTGGTCAGGGAATCACATGCAATGCTGGGTAATCAAACTGAGGTCAGCTATGTGCAAAGCAAGTGC